GCACACCTTAACATGAGTCATTGGATGTAGTTATTCTATACTACATTCTAAAGACCAAGAATTATTAGAAATACATTCTACTCTAGCCATTCCTAACAATGTATTTGCAGAGGGTATGGTCTCAGCAAGTTAGGGTGAGAATTTTTGTTTCATGCTAAGTAAGTGAGAATAACCATACCTATTCATATCATCTCGTATTCTTGCCGTAAAAAACATTAATGGCAGGGTTACAAGTGAGCTGACTTGGTATTGATAAGGAGGGATGGAAGCAACAGGAATGAGGTTCAGAATCCATGCTCCTTGGCAAGTGCTGCAGCCCACTGAATCCTCACAACAGGTCAACAATAATATAAATAACAGCAAACATTTATATAGTGTTGACTATATTCCAGGCAATATCCTAAGTGCTTCAATATGTAAACCCATCTAATACTCAAAACAATCTCATGAAAAAACCACTATTATTATCCCATGTTACAGATGAGGAAATTAGCTCAGAGAGCCTCAGTAACCCACTCAAGGTCACATAGCTCATAAGCCGGGATGAATTTTTTTAATGATTTTATTAGGTTTAGAAATTAAGGGAAAACAGCCAAATGTAAAAGAAGTTAAAAACACAAAAGAGCCCAAACCAGAAACAACCCACTGCCCTCCAAGAGAATCAATAGACAAATTGTAGTTTATTTAAACAACAAAATACGAGTCAGCAATAAAAAAAAGAATGCACTACTGATATATGCAACGACATGAACCTCAAAACAGTTCTGCTGAATGCAAAACTGAGCGACCAAAGGAATATACAGTATGGTTCCATTTACACGAAGTTCCGGCACTGGCAGAACTAATTTCTAGTGATGGAAGTCAGAACAGTGGTTACCTCTAGGGTATAGGAGTGAGAAGGTGGAGGGCTCGTGAAAGCCTCGTGAAAGAGGCTTACGGAATTTTCTGTGGTAATGAAAATGTTTTAATGAGGGTGGTAGTCCCAAATGAAGTCATGAAAATAAATTTTAGAAAACAGGAAAGGGCCAGGGACAATTGATGGAGCAAGGCTGAGGAGCAGCTGAGGGGCTCAGTTAACCAACACGGATGCAGGCTGAGCTCCAGACAAGCCCCTAAGCCCTGATCCCCGAGAAGGAGGGACAGCCAGCTCAGTGCTAGCAGGAGGCTGGCAGTGGCCGGCTGAGGGAGCTGGCATCAGAGGGCTCATGTGTCATTTCAGCAGGAGGAGCAAGCGTGTGGGAGAATTCTTTTCCTAGGGTAGAGCTTCTTGGGGCCAAGGATGTTAGGGCTGGGAAGGACCCCCCCTTTTTTAGACGGAGACACAGTGTTGGTGACCTATTCATGGTTACATGGGCAGGTAGTCAAAGCTGGAATCAGCACACAGTCGCTTCACATCAGTAGAGGCAGTCCTTGGGGCAGGGCCTCCCCAGACAACGGCTCTGCCTCGCCCCCCACCACTGAGGTGGCACTGCTCGTGAGGGCTCCGGCCCTTGCCTGCTCGAAGCACGTGAATGACTTCCTGTTGTGGGGTTTTTTTCCATTTAAAAAAGCATTCATTCATCACCTACCATTCACCAGGTGCTGTAGGTGCTGAAAATACAAAAAGAAAAAGCTACTACCCCTGTGCTCAGATGACTCAAGTTCGGTTGGGGGGTTCCCACATGAATAGATGACACACCAAGGTAAGAATCCCGGAGCTGCGGAGCGGGGATAAGGTTTGCCGGTGGCGCAAGCAGAGTTTGAGCAACTCTGCTAAGGCGGAGGGCTGAGGAGCCTTCCTAGAGAAGATGGTTAAGCTTCTGAGAGGATGGGGCAGGCTGAGGCGAGGGCACCGCGGAGAAGAGTGTACGGATACAATCGCCTCCCTGAAAGCACAGACAGAGCCTGTGCAGATGCGAGAAACTCCCTCCTCCCGCTCCCCGCCGAGGCTAAGGTCCCGCGGGCTCCAGTCTGGCTCCCGTGGTAGAGTTCACCAGCCAAGGGACCCGGAATATCGATCAGCACCGCAAGTATCCACGAAGAGATGGCCTTTAATATACCCCCGAATATAATGTGATACAGTCGCAACTTGTGCTTATTCTACAAATAAGAATTTCCACAACAGAATTAGGACTGAGCTTTGGTGAGTGGAAACAGGATGTTTTTAAGCACGTTGTAACTAACACAATGATCTGAAAACAGTCACCTAAACCTGTTCCACAGGCAGGAGTCATGGGCACTAAACGGCTGGCTTTATCACCCTCCGTCTCCTGAATCCGAGAAACGCGCACACTCGGCGAAATGCAGCCGGCAGCTCCGCCAGTGATGGATGGCAAAACAAAGGCTGCACTAATGAAAAATTAATGAAAACGGTGACTTCCATGAGAAAAATGATCTGTTTCTCCCACCTTTGTATCGATTTTTAACCAGCTCCGTAATTGGAAATGTGTAATTTTATCCTAAGTTAGGGCGGGCAGAGGGGAGTGGGGTGTGTGATCTGGTCGGCCGTGGGCAGGGTCTCAGCCGCCCGAGGAAACTTCACCCTGGGACGTGTAGCCTCCTTGCTGTCACATTTGCCTGCCCCCGCCTGAAACCTCATCCTCCCAGGCGCTGAATCCTGAGTCATTTGAAGGTTATAGATAACGATGACACCCTAATGTTCCCGTGTGCACCAGGGACCCCACTTTGGGGCTCACTTTTTCCTAAAGCATTCAATTGAAATAAGTGCGGTCTCAACCTCCACAATGCAGGAAGTCCCACCTCTCCGCCACATTTTAGGAACTAGGGAAGGCACTTACCTTTTTTCCCCATAGTCACCTGTCGTATCTCCCTTAGTTCCAGCCTGGACTCTCCCGTCCCTTCTTATCTCACCTGCTGTGGCTCTCACCCTGTCTGCCACATTCTGCCACAAGCTCAGATCTCGCCCACCTGCTCGCCTCTCCAAGGACACTAACCTGAAGCAGTGCTGGCTCAGGCCAGGCACAGTCAGTGAAAGCAGCCTGCTGCAGGTCGGAGGCAGAAACTCCATTTGCCTTGCATACACTGCATCCTAAGTGCCAAACATCCAGCCAGACCATCAAAGGAACTATGACGATGACACCGTACTCTAGTCCAGGTGACAGCGAGACTCTGTCTCAAAAAATAATATAATAAATAAACCAAGTATTTCTGTAGGACTTCACAGATTTATTTAAAGAGTAAGCTCTAGAATAACGGGAGAGCAGTGGAGTTGGTGAGTCAGTTAATCTCAATTCTTCCAGTCTAAACACACATTAAAACAAAACAAAAAAAAAGCTAAACCAGCACCACTACCTCAATGGTCTTGGTCACCATC